TTAAGGGAGTAAGGAAATGTTTATCAGCTGAGCTGGGGTCTGTTAAGGGAGTAAGGAAATGTTTATCAGCTGAGCTGGTGCTGCCTTGGTGCATTTAACTGGGAAGTCACGTTTGCAGCTGTGTGGGAGACCACTTTTGCTGGGAGACCTCCTTGCTAGGTTGGGTCAGGATGGGGACTGTGGCCTTGCTTCCTTTCTGTGTGTCTTGGTTACTTTTTTTCTCGCTGCTGGGACAAAATACCTGATGCCCAAAATTAAGGAAGGAAAGGTTTATTTTGCTTACAGTTTGTGGAGGTTTCAATCCGTACTAGGCATGATTATAAGGCAGAATGGCATGTGGCAGAGGGCTGCATCTCAGGGCGGCAGCACACAGTTAAGCAACTACCAGGACACACACACCAGGGAGGAATGGGGGAGGAAGCTCCCCAAGGAGCTTCCTCCTCTCCCTTACATATGCAAACTATCCACCCCAGGGCTGGTGTAGCTCTCACACCCATATTCAAACTCTAATAGCCTGCCCCAGGGCCGCAGTAGGCTTTGGGGGGGACACACAGATATAAACCGTAACACTGTGCCACTGACTTCCTGCTGAGGAAGAGGAGTAAGGATTCTTATGAGCTGTCCGTCTCACCCATACTTTGAGTGCGATTGTGATGGACCAGGAAGATGCCAAATCTCACTCTCCAGAAGTGGACCCAGAAGCCAACTCCTGAGCATTTGGAGCTGAGGAAGCAGGTGGAGAACTCTTCTCCCTCTCGCCTTCCTGCAGCCCTTGTAGAGTGGGTCTGGGAGACTGGTGCTCTTTTCTCTGTTCACTCGTGTTTCTAGTCTGTCCTAAATTTGTATTGATTGCATAATGGGTTTGTTAATGAGGTAATCTTGGGGCCTAGCAATGGCAAGAAATGCATTTTCAGATTTCAGTTTTTGTATTTCTTGTTTCATTCCACCAATCATGCAAAGTTTTGATTTGTATTATGAACCTAGTTGGAATGAGTATTGGAACATTTGGCCATATACTGCCCTTAACTAGCAGCATGAACTCTAAGCTAGCAGTGGTCCATTCTGATATGGTTGTCTACTTTACAAATCACACCTTAGATTTTTTATAGGGACAAAATAATGTACATGTTACAGTTACCTGGGGAATAACTTCGGGAGATGGGTTGAGGCCAGGGCCATAGTTGTCTTCAGTTTTTTCCCCAGCTTTTAAAAAATTGAGGTATAACTTACATTAAGTCACATGCATAAATCTCAGTGGTCTAGCTGTGTGATTTTACCCTGTTTGTACCTATTTACCAGATCCTAAATGAAACCAGAGAATCTTTCCCACACCCTAGAAGCCTCACTTAGTTTTCTGCTTCTTTCACTGTAGATTAGTTTTGCTTGTGTGTGAACTTGGTATAAATAGAGTCACATTAGGAACTTTTTTGGGCCTAATTTCTTCCACTTAACACTTATTATTTGTATGTGAGTCATCCATGTGACTGTGTTTAATTCTCCCACCATTTATTGTTGTCTGTATGTTTATTGGTTGGTATTTAATGCTGCTGCTTGATGTGGGACATTGGAATTGAAGGCAGTGGGGTTGAGTGAAAAGGGAAGTGGAGAGGATGGAGATATTAGCAGGCTCGCCAGGCACCAGGTGGGCAATTGGAGAGGTGCAGTTTGTCGCTGGGCATGTGGCCTCAGAGGAGGTGTCCAGAGAAGACTGCCTCAGAGCAGTCCATGCAACAAAGAAGCAGGAATTTATTTGCCATGCTCATGCCTGTGCCTTGATTTCCCTTTTGGACTGGGTTTGCCTTATGACAAGTCACCTTTCTCTTTTTAATAAAAGAGAAACAAGATTAACATAAAGAACATTGAAGGATACTGCGTGTCTCAAAATGGGCAAAAAGTAGACTTGTGGCAAAGTAGAAAGGATTGCTATTTGTCATTTGGGCTTTCACTTGAAAAGCTACATTTTTACTAGATTCACACACAGTCCAAAGTTCTTGGGTATGTGCTGGAGAGCACAAAATAAATTCTCTCAGTTTCTCCACACTCCCTCTTGAGGAGAACGAAGACTAGGACAACCTGGAGGCTTCCAGCATTAACTGAGAAGGGTTATGGCTTGCTAAACCAGCCTGTGGCCTGCTTTACACCCACTTGCCCTTCCTTTATCTTTCCGTCCCTCTCCTGTGCAAGACAAATCTTCTGCCTCCCTTTGACTGATCCTCCCTCTCCTGTCCTTGTTCTCAGTACCATTTTTCCAAACCTATAAACAAGAAGATGCTTTAAAAAATATTATTAGTATACCTAAAATTAATAATAATTATTTAATATCTTGTCCTTGTGCCAGAGTTGGTGTTTTTCTCACATACTTACTTATTCTTTTTATTTTGTTTCTGGTAGCTGAAGTAAGGGTCCACATCTAGTCAGTTTGTGATTGGTAGATGCATTGCAATTTATTTTTAAAATCAGTATTCCCTTTTTCTTTTCTTTCTTTCTAGCCTTGCAACTTATTTATTAAAACAAATGGATCAACTGACTTGAATTTCCCAGTCTGGACATTGCTGATTGTAATCCCATGTTGCTGTCATGTCCTCTGTCTCTGTCATCTGTCTTAGATGTGGAAAGGGTAATATGTTGTATAGAATATACTATTAGAGGCACATCATACTGGTTCTCCCTCTTTCTGTGTGATCAGTGTGTAGGTCTGTTGTTTCATTAACGGTTACAGAGTGGAGATTCTCTAATTCATTTACTCCTTTCCTAGTTCTCAGCTGGAACATGCTGTAAAGAATATGTGCCCTCATCAACTTAGTTACCTAGAGAATAGTTCTCAATACTTTGTTCATAGTAAGAACAAAGTAAATGTTGATTTTGCCCTTTAAGATTTTTCAAAATAATGAACTGATTTGACTCTTTGTCCTTCTCTGAAGGAACCCAAATGAGTCATTTTCTGTATGTTTGAACTATTTGATGTGCTTTAGTCCATTGCAATTAGTGGCTTTATTGATAATACATCTTTGACTAGTGGAGGCCTCTAATTTAGGTTGGATCCTTAACCTTTTTCCCATGATGTTATCCTTAATAGGATCCTTGCTTTACTGCTTAACAAGAGTTTTGAGTCTGTCTCTCAAATTTTTTGCCCCAAACTTGGACTCAGTCATGTCTCCTGGGAGCACTGGAATGTGGTCTTACCACCATGACCTGACTGTCATGTCTTACATTAATGGAGCTCCAGCAGTGTGTCTGTTTATATTCCATTTCCTCCCCACCCTTAGAAGTACATTAAAGATAACCAGTTGCTCTAAGAATTTGCCTAGAAGTTTGAATAGGTGACAATTAAAGATCAGCTCTCTTCCTGTTAAGCCCTTTCTAGGGTTGTTTAACGTTTGAGGAGTCCAACTCTATTTTTTTTTTTTAATTTTATTTTAAAGAGAAAAAAATCCACAAAATTTTAAAACAAGATAATAGGAGAATAACAGTGGTTAATACATTGTGTATTGTTATCTTTAAATTAGTTACTCAGAGTACAAGATATAGGCATTTAATTGTCCACACAGTATTAGCACAAACCTTTCTTTTCAATGAACTAAGAGAAATTAGTAGTATAACTATCTTAACTATATTGTGTGTGTGTATATATATATATTTTTAAATATTCCCTTTTTTCTCCTTTCCCCGTCACAGTTTTGCTTCCCATTTTATAATATCTATTGTACATTTTGGATCTTATTTACTCTTTCAGCTTGTCACACTAGGGAGACAATACAGTGTTTGTACGTGTGTATCTTGTTTATTTCACTTATGAGTATGGTCTCAAGTTCTATCTATTTACCTATAAAAGTCTCCAGTTTATCCTTCTTTATGGCTGGGTAGTACTCCATTGTATAAAAAGACCACATCTTTTTTATCCATTCCTCAGTTGATGGGCATTTGGGTTGTTTCCAAGATTTAGCTATTACAAATTGTCCTGCTATAAACATGGGTGCACATGTATCACTGTAGTATGATGTTTTTAATTCTTTTGGGAAGGTATCCTGAAGGGGAATAGCTGGGTCAAATGGGATTTCCAATCCTAGCTTTTTGAGGAATCTCCACACTGATTTCCACAGTGGTTGCACCAGTCTATACTCGCACCAACAGTGGAGAACGAATCCTTTTCCACAGAGCCCTGCCAGCATTTGTTATTGGTTGATTACTTAATGATAGCCATTCTTTCTGGGGAGAGATGGAATCTCATTGTTGCTTAATTTGCGTCTCTCGAATGACAAATGATGTTGAACATTTTTTCATATATTTATTTGCTGTTTGTGTTTCCTCATCTGTAGCTCTTCCTATTTTAGAACTCAGTATTTTCTAAAATGAAACTGAAGATTCTATATTTTCATTCTTTCTTTTCCTTCATTACTTATCTTTCTGCCTAGTGACCTTACCCCCAGGTAAGGGCTCAGGCTGGCTGTGTTCTGCCTGAAGCTATGTGTACCCCTGGTACTAGAGGAGAGGAAGCTGGGATCACCATGTCAGAGTGGCCTGGCTGCTGCTGTGTTCTGATGTGATCACGGTGCCTGTGGCTGCAGGCTTTGTGTTAGTAGTGGAATAACAGTATCTTAGTTTTCTGCAAGGCTAATAAACATGCACACAGATGTATTTGTCAGCCTCTGTAGTAGTGGAAGCTTAAAACAGGCTGAAGAGCAAAAGGGGAAGTACAATCCCTGTATCAACGGGAAGATTACAATTTTTTTGAATTGTCAAGAGCTTTCAAAGTGTAAAAAGAAATCTGAGCAATTTGTAATTTCTTTTTTTCCCTTTTTTTAATTCCTTTTAGATGCGGTTCGATCATTAAGCAATGCTGAGGACTATCTTGATGATGAAGACTCAGATTAATTTCCTTCTGGAGCTTTGAAACCCAAAACTTCTTTTGCTTTTGCCATTCCAAAATCTTGTTTTTTGCCAGAAAGTATTGGTAACTTAGAAAAGAAGTCTGTGTGAATGTGGCCGTGCTGCACTGTGTTCGAGGAGAACGTGTAAATGACTAGTTTCCGCCTTTGGTTTGCCAATAAGTGACTGATACTTGCTGTATAAAATGCACTTACGTTCACCAGAGTAGAACAAGAAGAGATTATTTCTATTTATCAAGTTAAAGGAATTTTTAAGATTTTTTTCTTTAAAAAAATCAGGATGGTTTTTTTCATTAAAGTTCTTTACCTCAAGGATTGGGATATTTTGAATTGATTTTTCAAAGGGGAAAATGCTTATTACAATAGTAGAGCAAAAGACTTAAAAAACTGTCAGCTATTCTGACAAAAATAAACATTTAAGAGACTTCATTCCTTTTGTCTGTTTTTGTTGTATTACTCATTGCTGGTTTAAAAAAACTATATTCATATAAGAACTAATTTTATTTTTAAATTATATTTTATATTTATCAGTACAGAATTAGATTGCACATTTCTGTTCAAGTTCCTGTGTCTACTTTGATTAGTCAAACTAAATAGGGTTCATATCTAATAAAATACAATTTTAGTAATTATGAGATACATACTTTTATATTCAAGGTTACACTTCAAGTGAAGAAACCCATTACCTCATTACTGTTTGTACAGTTTGCTTAGGTTTGAAAGGGTAAACAAATTGATTTCCTCATAAAAGATGCAGTAGTTTTCCATGTGGAACAGTCCGGGGCCATGCATTTTTTGCACGCATTTTTTCTCTTTGATAATGTGTTCTCCTCAAATCACAGGTTTAAATCATAATGGTTCAGATTCTTTTGCTTAATCAGTTCACATTGAAGGTAGCCTTCTGCAGTGTTGCTATAAGACTTCATATGTGGTTCTAATTTTCTGTCACTGCAGTGATGTTAGAAATGACATTGCTGCTGGAATTTGCCTGGATTCCCTCCCAATGGCCAGTAGTGTATTTGCAAGAGTTCAGTGTTAATGTTGAAAAACACTGGTGAAGAAAAGGAAACATTTGAAGAAGGAAGTGGGTTAACTCAGGAAATGAATAACGGCCTCTACAGGAGTTTCTTCTGTCTCTGCCTGATCTTCTCTTTTGTCTGGGTACCTTGAGAAAGAAAGAATACCCAGAGAAGCTGGCTGGAGTTTTTTAAATATCCCAACTAAATGTGTAGAAAAGATCTGTACAGTGGTGACTGCAGAAGATGAGTACTGATTATTTTCAGAACAAATACTAAATTTGATTTAGCCACTCATAGGCATAACCTGGAAGATGTGAAATCTTTGGAATTATCTCTTCCCACAGAACCTGTAAGGATCTTTTTTAGAAAGTGGGACTTGTACCTTAACAAAACATGTTTGGGGATTTCTGTAACTTTTTGCTCTTCTCTGCCTTCCATCTAGGGTAATCAGGTTGGATGCTTACTAAACACTTCGTTTTTAACATCGGCAATGATAGTAGAGTTACATGACGATAATTTTTACAAAAATACTGTATGTTTGATTTAGACACATTATTTCTGTATCCAACAAAAAGAATAGTAGAGCTTTATTATCATTGCTTTAAATATTATTGAACCTGTATGAAGTCCTGAAAATTGCTAACTGTAGCTTTTGAGAATGAGGGTAAAACTTAGGCGTATGTCCATGAGTTTTTTTTGTGAAACAGGATAGCTTAGTTTAGTTACAGTTGAAACTCCATGAGAAATTTATTCTTGCTTCTTGTTTATTCAGCCTCGCTGATCTGAGCTTTCTGAGAGATTTTTGTTGCTGAATTCAGCATTAAACTCCGAGTTCCAGGAACTTGCCACTGCTCTGGCCTTGCAGAGGAGAGCTTTGCTTATGTTCCGGGACTGGATTGGAGGATTTGCTATAACCCACGCTTCCTGTCACTGGCTGGATTCCTTCCTAGGTGTTGCGTCCTTTAGATAGAAAACGCCTCTCAGAGCCGGGCGTGGTGGCGCACGCCTATAATCCCAGCACTCGGGAGGCTGAGGCAGGAGATTCCTTGTGAGTTGGAGACCAGCCTGGGCTACAAAGTGAGCTCAAGGCCAGCCTGAACTGCATAGCAAGATGGTCTCAAAAAGACAAAAAAAAAAAGAGAATACCTCTCAAGTAGGGAGATACCGGTCCAGCCTAGGCCTAGGAACTTCATGAGAAGAACAGCCTTTGCCAGGGGCTCCCATTGTAGCTTCTTTTTTTCAGGGAAGTTTTGTGTTGAACTGTAGCTGTCAGCATCTGCGTTTGTCAAGGGAGTCTACTCCTTTTCTCAGTAGATTGTCATGTTTTTATTGCCCAGAAGAGAAACATTAAGCAAAAAGTAGTGGCCTTACGTTTTAAAAATACGATGATTATTATTATCATCATCATTATTATTTTGGATTTGGTTTTTTGAGAAAGAGACTCACTGCAGTTCAGGCTGGCCTTGAACTTGCTATGTAGCCCAGTTTGGCCATAAACTCATGGTGATCCTCCTGCCTCAGCCTCTGAGTGCTGGGATTACAGGCATGGGCCACCACATCCGGCCTTTTTTAATCTTAAAAAAGGGAAGCAGTACTGCCAGAGAAATTTTGTATAATTTTAGGTAAAGGAAAATGGAAGTTTTTCATGTAAGTTGCCTCTATAAAGATTCTTTATTGTGCAGAATTTATGATTTTTTTATGGGAGCACTACCTTTCTCATCTTTGTAAATGATTTCTAGGAGACTGACTGTAGAACATAAAATTTACATCCGATTATCTGCATTTCCCTCCTGACTTTGATTTTGTTTTTTCCTCCAGATTTTTTACTGCAAATAAACAGAGAAAAAATATATATACAGTGGAACTTTGATTTGTCTGATTACTGAGAGAAGTAGCACAAAAGACTACAGATATAGCTGGGATGAACAGTTTTCTCAAGCAAAGGAAAGATTGCAGACCATAAATATATGGTTTCTGGCTCCTTATTTCTTAATAATATGCTTTTGCATCTGCCCCTCCCTTCAAATGACATAAAATTAAATAAAACTATCATTTATTAAATGCCTACTCTGCCAAGTCCTGTGTGGGGCACTTTCACAGAATGATGTCATTTGATCTTTACTGTCACCTCAGGTGATGAATATAAATGTCCCTGCCTTTTTACAAAGAAGCTGAGCCGTGAAGTTACAAGACTGGCTCAAGGTCACCCTGCTTGAAAGTGAGTGTGCACGTCTGGTGGAGAACTTGAAACCACACACTTGCTGTCCACCGTAACTGTCAGAGGTCGCCATTCCCCCTCTACCAGGAAACTGGAGAAATGCTGCAGTTCCTTGTCCAAGTCAGGCCCACATATAGACCTTAATAAACTTAGTGTGTTTGTTAATCAGGTTATGTAAACCAACCCTACGAGCTGTTATAAAAGATCTTGAATTTTTTCTTGGCAAGAGTTTTGGTTCTCAGTTACCATGAAGTACGATTTAACGAAGCAGAGTTTACCCTCAAATTTCTGAAATTTCCTACTCTGCTTGTGACAGGCAATCTTGAGTATCAACTTGACTGAATTGGGACTCCTGAGAGGTGATTGGGTTAATGAATTTGTAGCCGAATGGGCTGTGAGGTGGTAGGGCCTACATAAGAGGAAGAAGGTCCCTGTAGAAGTCATCTTGGGACTATATCCAGTCCCTGGCCCCTTTTCTCTGTGGCTCGTTCCCACCTGTTTCTTGGCCCCCATGAGTTAAGCTGCTCTCCTCTACCATCCTGTTAGGATGTTCTTCCCCTGGGGCCAGCCAGCTTTGGACTGAACCTCTGAAACCATGAGCCAGAATGAAGGGTGTGTCAGGTATTTTGTCCCAAAGACAGGGTGACTACCCAACACAATGCACATGAATTAAAGCTTAGAAGGGCAGCTATATGCTTTGCCCAGAGTACACAGCCAAGTTCAGCATTTCTTTCAGACAGTCTGAGAGATCCTAACATGATTTCAGTGTAAACCTGAGGATAGGGGCATCCCTGGGAAGAGTCAGAGAATGTTGTCTTTCTGCTGGTTGTGCGGGCTGTCTGCTATGTTTCGTAGGGGCCGTCTGTTTGCCTTTCCCAGGAGATTTAGTCTCCCACCTAAGCTTGTACTGACTGCTGAGTAGGAGCTGGAACGAGACCACATTCCTGGTTATGGCTAGAAATGAAAACCGGGGCAATGCAAAGGAATGCATGAGAGCCTCGGGAAGTAGGGAGAGAAGTGGAAGAGACAGGAGGAAAAAGGCTGGGCAGCAAATGTGAAAGGGCCACTTTTTTTTTTTTTTTTTTTTTTGTACCAGTAATCAAAGTCAGGACCTTGTGCTTGTCAGGCAGGCTGAAAGAGCCACCTTTGTAACTACCCTTACCTCTGGTAGAAATTAGAATACTTCAAAAAGAGGTTAAGAGCATGGTCGTTGGAATCAAACTGGATTTGAGTCTGGTTCTGCTGCGACTTTAGGGTGAATTTAGGTCACCTAAGTACTGGGATTCCTTAGTTGACAGTGGAGAAAGCAGCTACAGTATCTTTGCCTTGAGTTCTGAAGATTAAATACAACAACACATATAAATGACTTTGAATAGTGCTTGACAGAGTGATTGATCAATAAATGTTGTAATCATGAGCCTGAATATTAAAACCATTAAAAACAAGTAATTGTGTACACCTGTATAAAGGATGTGTCAGCTAGTATTAAAGGCACTACCATTACTGGAAGAGCAAAATTTCCTAAAGCACTTGTGAAAGACTTAATGGAAGACTGATTTTTTCCCTCCCCAATTATCTAGGTGTGTTTTTAAATACGGAGTGGCGTTCTGTGTGTGAGTTACAGGGAAGAGTTGCATAACTAGTAAGGCCTGGTTATTGCTATCAAGATAATTTAAAGGGGAAGTGGGGAGAGTGCCTTTCCTGCCATTTCAGCTTTACATCGTCATTTTGGAGGGGCTTGATGGGCTTCAAAAACCATGGATCCAGTGTTCTGTGCTGATTTCACATCAAAAGGGTATTTGATAGGTACCATCTTGCTTTTACATTATTTTGAAATAATTGAATTTCTCAATTGGATAAGCTTTACAACTTCATATGTACCACATCAAATCTAAAAATCCAGTGTTACAGTGCCAGTGAATTAAGACAGGGAATTTTAAACACTTAGAAATTAAATAAATACCACTAATTTTGAACAAGAAGATCACAGAACAAGTTGGTTATTTCCTCAATCTAGAAACAGAACTGATGCTACAATAACGTCTTAGTCTAAGATGTAGCAGTAAGGCCTGTTTGGACACAGGTTGACTTGAAGAGTCAAAGTCTGTCACTGCCTGAGACTAGAAGTAGCTCCAAAGAAATCCATAGCTCTGAAAGGTTCTCAGGTCAAGAGGACATGTCTCTGTGACCCA